AAGCGTATTTAGCGATGGGGGATCCATCTAGCGTCAGTTGAGATGACAACTGCATTGAAAGTATGCGAAATTTCAAAGAGAATAATGTTGCTGCATTTTGAGTTACTCACTCATTATGAGCAAAGAGACACAGAATTTCCAAGCTTAATAATTGAGAACTTATACATTTCTGACGTGATAGGTTCCAGGTACGTGAGTATTTACCACATAACAATGAATATTCCATCTCCAATGTGAATAGACGAAAGAATGATGTTATACTATCTGCCTTCCAATTAGTTTCCCGCTCATCATATTAATTATACTATATAGTTCGAAATCACCGTGCTCTGTAAATGATGCCCAAGTAGATTTATTAAAAACAAAAGAATATCAATAACAATGTCAGTCAGAGATCTTAAGTGCTGTTAGAGGTATGAGGGCGGTTACCACTTCCCGGTTGCCCACACCGTGGAGAAGTTCTTCGGGGGGTACTTGAAAAGAAAATTGGGTTAGGGGTGGTCTTAGTGACCTGAGAGTGTGACCGCAGTGCCCAAGGGACAACTGATTGAGGTCGGTCATAAACGACCTCTTTGTGAGTAATTTTCGTGTTAGCTCCGTACTTGTTGAGACCTTACCGCCGAATACGGATATCCATGGGATAAGGTGAGGCAAGCCCAACCATCACATCCTTGTAACAGCAACGGTCGGGCAATAATAATGTATTTCTTGTTTACATTCATTTAACAAAACAGCTAAGCACTATGAGTAAATACCCCGTATGAAAACTGCCGGAAACATAACTTTTCATGTTTTAGTGTTCTAAAAGAAGTGCTAGAATTTAAGCATAATTAATTGATTGAATTCTCATTACTCTACTAAGGTGGAAAATAATCGGTACCTGAATGAGAATGTAGTTCATGAATGACCTAGTTTAATTGGCTCACATAGAGATGGGCGGAAGTTAGTACAAATAATTCACAATATATTTTCACATGTCAGTCCTACAATCTAAGCGATGCCATAAAATGTTTGACAAAAAGAAGAAATGTAATCGGATCAGTGACAGCTTACTGGATCACCATACACTAGAAGGTTCAATCGAAGTGACAAGTAATAGGAATAGGAAGTCATGCATGTTCATTATCTCTCTCTCAATTACGATCGGGACTAATTCATTATTGAACTGAATAATTGTGTAAACAACGTCCTATTATCTGGGTCATGAGGCTAGGAAGAGAGAAACATAATACCGATGAATAATAATGGCGCCCTTTCCATTGATAGAGTATAATGATCAGTGATAGGGTTTATATCAGGCTTCCTTTTCTATACTATAGACCCTACCAACTGATGTAAAATTATGTATGATGAAAAATGAATAACTTCGAAATAAATGTGAAATTTCAGGCAACCATATTCCTTGTTAAATTTGAACAGAACAAGAACCCTAGTAGGACGAAATAAACTCACTCATTTTTCAATTTACCACCTTATCTCTTCATATTTATCTCTTACATAATCCGATTGTTCACATATATATGTCAAATGATTGCGTAATCAATCGCCAATTTTCATCACTCTCACTTAACCTCTTTTATCTCGACTACGATTAATAGTAACTATGACATATGTTCTACTCCAAAATACTACTTTCCAATACATGGATCTTAAATACGGATATCCATACACTTTGTGTCCTATTCTTTTTAATATGATTTGGGCTACTTTTGAACATTTATCTGAACTTCACAAACTAAATTCAGTTAGACATTCGGTTATATTTATATTGCTAAATGTAATTCTAAGCTGTATGCAGCTGATGAAAACCGTGAAATAGAATGCTGAGTTGTTTTTATCCTCCAAACCTTGATGTTCTTGTTCTGTTCAAGTATAAATTTCGAGTCCCAGAGTGAACATCAACTCTGGGATGCAGTTGCATCCAGGTAGCGAGTCCCAAACAGGACGAAACGCACGCCAAACTGGATTCCACTGCTAACCATTATCCATCTTTGCTTAGAAAGCTTGTGACTTATAGAGACAGTCCGCACAGGATGCATATATTGCCAACAAGAGACTGAGTAATTGCAGTCCTAAATATCAATGGGAAGATTCAAGTAAACAATACCAAGTGAACAAAATTAGTATTGTTTACAAACTAACAAGTTGGTTGAAATAGTTTTACGTGACCACGAAAATGACCTTGTACCTTGAAGAAATAAAATATTGTCTGCCGCAAAGAACATTAACACAAATGCATTGTAGTGGCCTGGAGAGATGAACATGTATGCTATTTTATTTATTTATACAAACACACATTGGTATATGGAAGCCCAAATATATATGCAGTACATAAATCATTCGACTTGTATGAGGACTGAGATACTGACCGGGTGCCAGACCGAAACACATGGTCTTCTTAGGGGGTCACAACCCGAATTTTTGACCTAAAAATGTGGTCCACAAGACAGTGGAGCAACGTCAAGAGATGCAATCCCATGGTAGCCGGTGACCAACGATTGGTTCATAAGTTATTTGTTCCCTTAAGGATGCTGAAGCGCATGTACACCATTGGTTTGGAATCAGGGTTTTCTAAATCACCTAGGTGGATCCACCATATCCATCAACCCGGTTAAAGCACAGGACATTCGACTTTCGTTCTCAATTTTGTAAAGATCACTTCTTCCACGAGGAGGAAGTGAGTAGAACTTCCCTGCCCGTATCTTCATGCACGTGGACATGTGAGAGCGTTTCAACAGGGAGAGCTGACTCTCCCCACCCTCGGCCTTATCAGGGCATTTGGGGACTAATTAAGATTGATTTACTGCCTGATACAATTTCATCTAATTTCTAGACAAATGAAAATATTGAACAGTTTAAAAGATGGCAAATGAACTAATGAAGTAGTGAAACTTCATCAGTTGAGATAGCTGGGACACGTGTTACGTATGCCCAACCACCGACTGCCCCGACGTACAATGTTTTATGGTGTAAGAGTAGGTTGGAAGAAAGCTAGAAGCGGCCAGACCAAAACATGACACAAATCCATGGTCACTAACGAGTGGACTGTGCCACGTTGGTAGATGTAGACTACTTGGTTAAGAACCGCGAGATGATAGCAACCGATGGTTAGACACGTTGAACGACATGGCTCAAAAACGTTTGCAATAGCGCAGGTGCATCCACTCTTTCTGTTCTCCCAAATTCTAATCTGAATTCTTCATGTCCCTTTGTTTTTCCTCTTTTCAAATTTATTTCACTGGATTATACTCCTTGAATAAAATCTTTAAATTCTAATGTTTCCTACTTCTGTTTATACTTTTACCACCTCGACCACTAAGGGATTTGAATCGACAATTACATCTCTGTGCTAATGTGGTATGGCAAATCGAACTGATGTACGTACGTACAGAGTTCTACATTGTTACTGACTAACTAAAAAGATTTTCCTATTAAAACTTAAATAATCATCAATAAGATAGAATTAAAATGTTACAAAGCTTTCATATATACATCATATCTAGATAGTTCATATACATCCACCACCAATTGAATAGTATATTTCTTCAAGAATGAAAGTCAGTAAAGATAAAGATTGATTAATTTCAATGGTTGAGATCATGAGTCAATTGAAGCTAGATCACCATGGGAAACCTGGAAGCATTGAACGACCGTTTTGCCCTATTGTGGGACTCCTCAACAGTGCTCTTCCACGATCCCGCCTCGCGAGATTCCAACCCAGGACCTATCAGTCTTGTGCCAGGCGCTTAACCAGCTAGACCACTGAACCGGCATCCAACGGTGTTAATGTCTAGCTTCAACTAATCCACGAAATTGAGCGACACATCCACCATTGTCATCAGTGAATTACAACCTCACAACTGGCACCCGGTCAATATCCTAAACCTCACACAAATCGAATGATTTATGTGGCGCATATCTATTTGGTGCCTTTTTGATTAACTAGTTTTAATAATAAACAAACATATAAAACTCTTTTAATAATCAATAAGAAAGTTTTTTTTTCTTTATCTATAATTTAAGACACATCCATTGACAATAAGTTCATATATTGAATGTTTGTATTGTCAAGAATAGAAACTAGTTACCAAGTATATAAATAAACAAAATGTGTTAATTATTTGAATACAACTACAGTGTACATAAAAGAGAATGGAACAATAATAGATCGATAATAACAATAACATACTATTGATCAAAGGATTTAACATTTGAAAAAGTAAATACAAGAATTTTATTACTTTTATTCATTCTTATAAAATAATAAATCATTTATACAACATACATGTATCTATGTATATATAAGAGATGATTACATATGTTATGTAATAGATATTACATTTATATTGGTTACATTATGTAATAATATTGTAGCCAAGATCTTAATTATAAATCTCAATGAACTGTCATCAATCCTGCGGATGTATGATATCATCATTGATAAGAACAAGTATATTGGAATGAACAATGGTACTATTAAAATGATAATGTTGGTGGTGGTAGCGGTGGCGTTGTTGTTGTCAATAAACCATTTCATATGTATAAACAGTAAAATGTACAAAATGTACACAAAGCAATAGTAATAATGGTAATGATGATAAGATTTTAAAAAACAAATTAGCCGCCAAAAAAGTTGGGAAACACACACACACAAAAAAAGAACACTTTTTTGTTATTGAAACATTGGAAATCGAATGAATGAATAAAAGGCAGGCAGGCAGGCAAGCAGTAATGCAGAAATAAAGGAATTCAATTCATTTTGATAAGCTTTTTCTTTTATAAAAAAAATGAGGCATACATACGTGAGTATAGAAAATTCATTGAGAATTTGCATAGAAATTGGCAAAAGAGTAAGAGAATAAGAAAGGATACATAGGAAGAAGGAAGTAGACATTAAAGTGATACGCTTAACTATTCAACAAACCGTTAGTTACATAATAAATCTATAAATATAACTAATAAAATTATCGATACATTTTTATGTGTTCAAGAAAAAAAAATTATTTTATCAAATGTTCTGTTGCCATTGCTAAATCCCAATTCTTCATGGACAATGCACGACAAGCTTCATGCTATGATGATAGAAATAGAGAGAATGATGATCAAACACATACACACACATTCACACAAATACAACTTACAATAAGATACCAATGGATGTTCTTAAAATACAGTGAAATACTCCTAGAGTCAATTTTCATAAATAATGAACAGAGACTATTTCGATACAAATAAATATACATTGCCAAATCACGACATTAATTAAATGCTATTTCACAGGTCGGTGGATATGGAGGATCCACCTAGGTGATTTAGAAAACCCTGATTCCAAACCAATGGTGCACATGCGCTTCAGCACCCTGAAGGAAACAAATAACCTATGAACCAGTCGTTGGTCACCGGCTACCATGGGATTGCATCTCTTGACGTTGCTCCACTGCCTTGTGGACCACAGCTTTAGGTCAAAGACTCAGGTTGTAGCACTCGGTCAGTATTCCAGTCCTCACACAAATCGAATGATTTATGTGGCGCATATCTATTTGGTGCCTTCTTGCACCTATGTTTATTTGTTTAAATAAATAATATAAATAATGCTATTTCCCAATTCTTTAGTGACTGAAAACATAAAATCGATGAACGTTTTCAACTTGGAGACAACAGCTTTCGTAAGTATAATAGAGAAGTGTTCTCATCAATGTGTTGTACACACAAGCTTTAACGTCTACACTAGCATCTCAACAATGTTAAAGGTCAGTCAGATTAGATTAGGCTACAGCTTTTAATGTACATAAATAGATTTTATTTACCACGCCAGTCCCCGGTACACTATCGGCAATCACATAGCTAGTAAGACATAAAAACCATGATTATTTTTTAACGAATTATCACAAAGGCTGGTAGCAAACACATGCTTCTACGATTTTTCTTCTATAAGACAAGTTTCATGATAGTATGAAAGTGACTGTGTCATTACATATTATCATTCTTTATGGTTAAAACAAACGGATTTACTTCTGTGAGATGCCATGGGGTAAATTAATTAGAAATCACTAAATTTACACTAAGTATCGTTTCGTATTCCTACATAATAATAACGTCACATGACATTCAATTAAGCCAAGTGTTGACGGCGTATGCAAACATATTATCAGATGTTCAGTGTTATATGAATGGGACAGATAGAGAACAGCAAAGATTTTACACTATGCACTCATCATTCAATTCTCTTAATAACGCAAACACACAGTCCAAAGAATTATTTTACCTCATCAAAACCCATTTGAACAAGTTTATCTACTAAGTCAACACAATGAGGATCACATCCAGGTCCATTAGCATAAATGCCTGCCCAATGACGTGCAGTTCGATTAAAGGCGTCTATGCTACTTTTATATTGATTAGCAACAACTGCATCTTGTGGATCATCTGGTTCTGGAGAAGCTAATAATGCTTGAATAGATAGAAGTATAGTACGTAATGACATAGCAGCAGCCCTGTGAAGAGAATGCAAAATAAATGAATGTCTACAACATGAAGAAAAGCTTTTTGTAAAAATGCAACTTGAAAAGACCCTTCATAAGGTAATCAACGGTTACGCAAGAAAGCATTAATAACTTTTTATTATGGAGTAGGAAATTATGAGCGGGTTTTTGAAGTGTTAAAGGAATGAATACAATGCTAATCCATGGTCGATATGCAATGATATGAAATGACTGTGTGATGGTTTCGCACGAGACCGCCTCCAAATGCCCTGGTACGGATTAGAGTGGGGAGTCAGTTCTCCCTCTCCAAATGCTTTCATATAGCTACGTACATACAACCACTGACAGTTATATCCTGATCCCTACCGTGCGGCATTATTGTTTGAGAGGACGAAAAACGAATGTCCGGCGCTTTAACCAGGTTGGTGGAAATGGAGGATCCACCTAGGGCAGTTAGAAAACCCTGATTCCAAACCAATGGTGCACATGGGCTCCAGTATCCTGAAGAAACAAATGGCGTATGAACCAATTATTGGTCACTGGCTACCATGTGACTGCATCTCCTTACGTTGCTCCACTGCCTTGTGGACTAGACCTCTAGGTTAGAGGCTCGAGGAGTGGCTCCCTAAGAAACCCGCCTGCTTCGGTTTGGGTACCCGGTCAGTACCATACACGAATCGAGTGACTTGTGTGGCGCGTATATATTCTGTGCCCCTTTTGCCAATATTTATGCCTTCAAATAAATAAATACCTCACGAGATCTAGTTATTGATGTGACACACCAAATAGGCTAATATCGGATGACAAAACAGCTGCCCAATAGAACAAGTTTTTTAAGAAAAAATAACATGGTTATATGCAAAAATTCAGAAAACCAACTATAACTAAATGTCGAATGCAACTAGAGGAAATTCACTCTGTCGGTTAATTTCACTTTAATAAGCTGAAAGCTTGGCCTTGGGTAAATAGTAATAAGAACTGACTATCAAGTTCGTCCTTTATATTTGTGCAAATAAATGGCGGACGTTGGTATTTGAACGATTCGGTCAGGAAATGTACGGATGTAATTGGTGAGACTATAATTTATGGACGATCTTCGAGTAACGCTAAACTGACTTTGAGAGTGTCCATCTACTATTAACTAGAACTAAATGACGGTTATAAAGTAGTGTAAGGATTTAGAATTATGATTTACAGTTGATGGTTAGAGTTAGGAACTAAACTTCGAGTTTTCATCAAGAATTGACATCAGCTAAAATGTCAAGATGCTATTTAGCCAGTTAGATGAGCGAATTTCGCGCCAAAATCCGAAATCTGTTATCTTATACCTGTTTGGTTCGTCCATAAATTATAATCTCGCCGATAATTTAAATTCATTTTCAAATCTTAATTCATTATGTTAGCCTTTTTTCTCCGTGATATTACAACTCGTGTTAACTAAATTTTTCACCAATTGATTTCTTAAAATAAACATGTTCTGACTTGTAATTTCTCAGCATGTGTTAATCTCAGGAATACACTATTGTAAAAGCAGTTGAAATGGGATGAAGACAAGTTGTTTGGTCAGGTAGTGCATAAAAACTAGTTTGCTTTAAAACATCATCCCAAATGAGAATAAAATAGTTTTTCTTAGTCCTCTTTATCTTTTAATGTTAATCTCAGTTGATGCCAGTTCATAGCATTAACTATCTTGAGAGGTAAGAAATGATAGTTAAATAACATCTATTCATCTACTAATGTATTTCATACTATTTGGATTTCTACACATCAAGTTCCACTGTAACAGTATCTAACATTGTATGTATCCTAATCCAAACTTAGCTTAGAATGGTAATCAGTCAGTCAAAACCTTATTCAACGTAAAACCAAGGAAAAGTGTTCGTTAAGCCAAGTTATTAATCTATATCAGCACGGCCAGATAAAACTAGCAAGGGATGCAAGTAATGAAAATGTCAAAATAACAATTGTAATAATAATAGTGAGAATGTTTAAGCATCAGAAAACTTGGTTCAAAAATAAAATAATAAAATGTAATATGTATAGAGAAATGTTGAGGCTCAAGTCCTGGAGGGATATAAAATGTGTATGCATTTGTGGTTTTGTTACCGATTCCGAGCCATATGACTTAATATCTTCAACCAAGAGTTTTTTACCCCTCTATATTAATTCATTTTCATAAACAAGCATTCTTTTCTATGTTCCCATTCGATAGAATCAACTTCTTTTCTAGACATCACCAAACTGTAAAATGTTTGCAAATTTATGAAATAAATAATGCTTGAAATATTTACTATCACTTGTTTTTTGTAAAATTGTATCCTATAAGCATCTGAAGTCATGTTGATTTTTAAGTCATTTTGAACTGTACTACTAATAAGTAAGTAAGTGTTTATTCATGAATTTTGGGACGAGACTATGATTTATGGACGAACCAAACAGGTATAAGATAACAGATTTCGGATTTTGGCGCGAAATTCGCTCATCTAACTGGCTAAATAGCATCTAGACATTTTAGCTGATGTCAATTCTTGATGAAAACTCGAAGTTTAGTTCCTAACTCTAACCATCAACTGTAAATCATAATTCTAAATCCTTACACTACTTTATAACCGTCATTTAGTTCTAGTTAATAGTAGATGGACACTCTCAAAGTCAGTTTAGCGTTACTCGAAGATCGTCCATAAATTATAGTTTCACTAAGTTGTCTACAGTTAGGGAAAATAGTTGCCCTAAATTTTTTAAAGGAGATTGTTAAAAATGGGAGAAAAAATAAAATAAAATGTATACCAAGAGAATGGAATAACATCGTCATCTCACACCGTACAGAAACACCGAAGGAACTTAAAACGATTTTAAATGAATATAATAAGAGTTTACTTTCATACCAGTGGTACCACAAGATCAGCATAGTTAAAGACAAGGAAAGGTTATCAAAAGAGCAAAAAGACGTTTTCCATTGGATCGAATGTCATGGATGCATTGCAGTTTATATTAGAGAAACATCTAGACAGCTGAATGGAGGGTTGAAAGAAACACAAGCAGTGTTTGAAACATCCTTCTGAATCCTCGATTAACCTCAAAAAAAACTTGAGAATCGATCAAATATTGTGTCACATTCGTTATAAACAGAATACAAGATCAACTTTGAAGATACTTCAAAAGGTGTTTGGCGTGCAAAAAGGGTGACATAAGAAGCCCTGTATGTATGGGTTAGTCACAAAACCCTGGACAGAAAAGATGGAATTCAGTTAGTCATCCATTGTCAAATGTTTATCAACAAGTAATTAGACCTTACCTCAGTTTGCCCCGTTTATAGCGCATGTAGTTTTACTTTAACAGAAACCAATCGGAATGTTTCAACATCTCACTTTATATACACTTTAACATTTTAAAACCCTTTTCAATCCGTACTACTATTCTTAACGAAGTGAGCGATTGGTAGATCGACTGGATTTATTCACTAGATATTAGCTATTAAAAACATCAAGGTACACACATTCGCAAATTTACTCTCCTTCACAATATAAGCTTTTCACACCATTCACATCATAAGGACTTATATGATACTAATTGCTAAAGTCAACATCCTAAAATGATTAAATAACCTTTTAGTGTAGATCATACAGTTAAGTTATGTATTCTTTGATAGTATCGATTTCGATCATTACGCCGAAAAAGATCCGATAAGATTACTGGACGAAACCTTAGGATTATTTCAACTTCAATTTCTGAGATCATTTGAAGCACGATTTTCACAAATCATGGCTTATATATACGCGTTTGACTTTCACAGCCAGGAAGTTCGAGGTTCAGACTGCGCTTCACCTACTTCGGTTTGGACAATTGGATGTTATTACTTGCCCTTATACTCAGTGTGGCTCGTAGCCAAGTACATAAATTAAATACAATTTACTGATAGTGATAACTGACAAATGGGGGGACAATTTTGTATCATAATATTAGGAACTGTGCTGCCTTTGAACCATCAATCCGAATGCTATACTTTATAAACATATTCTCTGGTTAATTTTTTTGCCTTTAAAATGTATAAGGTTGTAGACAAGAAACACATCCGAAAATATAAGTGAAAAGATACCTACCACTGATCCTTTAGTACATCAAGGCAAATTACACCAGTGGCACTACTAATATTAGGATGCCAAATTTTTGTGATAAATTTAACCTTTGGGGGAACAAATGGGTAATTTTCAGGGATTATAATGTCTAAATTGAATTCAGCACCAGTATAAGGAGTATCCGGTGGGCCTTTGATAAGACCACATAAATGCATCATGTCGTCATTACAAGGTTTTATTTCCAACTGATTCTGTGCTGCCTAAAATTTTAAAATAGCAAAGAGAAAAAAGTTCCAATATTGTGTTTCACAGAATGGGATTCAGTAACTAGGTAAATATTTATGTAGATCGGTGTTATACAATGTTAAGACATATAATTAACATACCGCTGACAAAATTGAAGTCGATGGAGAGGGGCTTTGAAGTTGAAGACTTAGGACTCGTGAAATTTAAAATCGGTTCGTCGAGTTAAGAGTAGAGCAGCGACATTAAAAGAAACGAGCTGAATTACACGGGTAATAACTTGAGTCTATTTGAATACATTTTGAAGTTTCTTCACTTTTTATACTTCTGCTCTGAACAAGAGATAACCACTAGCCTATTGTCGTACCCCTGAAACAAACCACTAAAGAGCTGCAATTGTATAATTGTCTAACCAACCTTATTAGAGAATACATGGTTTTTACTGTTTTGCTCCACAATGTACATCGAATAATAAAGATTTGCAAATCATGTGAATACATTTATTTGTGCTGGGTTTTTTTTAGCTAAACAGTTTAATTAAAGTGCTTTCATTAACGTTGTGAGAACGTCAGCCCAAACTACTTTATGTAGTATTTAAAATGTTCATGAGTCGAAACTCTGCAATTAAACCATCCACCTAAGTGAATACAATTTATTAATAGAACACATGGAATTATATAACTCACAATAGTCGAATGGCAATGCATCCTAAGTGTACCTATGAACACTGGTTCGAAGTGAAGTCAGAGGGTGTCGATATCATTGATCATAAGTAATACACGTTTGAGTCAACTGAAACCATGTTAACATTACCAGTAAATCATAAAATTGACGGTTTTGAGAACTGGCTACCTTTACTACAGCTTAGGTAAGACAAGTTTGAACCTATTTAGGTTAGAAATATAAATGTATAAGCATCCATAGGAAGAGATTACTTGAAGGTCAACAGAGAGTCTGTGTTTTTATTTAAAAAAGACTGTATCATATGTAGGCCTCTAATGATAAGCTGTGTAGGAAATGCGGTGATTTTCACACCTATATTGTTATCTAACACATCTACATGAGGTTTTGTCATTAGTAAAAACATTCCCATTTCGGGACTTTGTACGCTTTGATAATATTCATAAATTGAAGGGAAATATGACGGTGGGTTAAGTGGTACCAAAGCAAAACATGCGAGCCCTTCTGTAACCCCAAGGTTGTTTAAAGATACTCTGAGAAAGTTAAGTACGGATCTGGGGAATAATTTAGATGAATATACTGAACAAGACCTCCAGGCTTGATCTCTTGTTCACGTACTCGAATGACACCAATGATTGCGGTTTTGAGTTCAATGCATGCACACCAATATTCTTTTTCATTGATGTAAATTTCCATCTTTTTAAACGAAAGATAAAGACAAGTGAGTGATTAGCAGATTAACATTATATTCAAACTCTGAATCATGGAAACAAGTAGGTAGGAATTTTCAAAATACACAGATCACAACATCAATTTAATAGGAACAACTAACTTCATCTGATTTCATCAGCTCAGCTAACTCTTTTTGAATACGTTTACCCGCGATGCTAGCCATTCCGAAACTGTGGCAAACACGCCCAGCGTACCGCGAAGACTTAAATCCGGCGCAAAAATAACTCAGACCTTCAATGTCATCAGACAACATAAGTGAATTTGTTCAGATGGTTATGGATTGAATAAGAAGAGCTTTCTCTCAGTGCAATGAATGCAAACGTTGGTACCACGGAGTTTGCACGAATTTAACGCATGTGACTTTTAAGAGGTTCAGTAAAAACGGTCGCGTATGGCTTTGTCACCAGTGCTGTTCGGATGCAAACAGCTTGTTGGCCGAAGCCATCTCATTGGTAAATGCTGCGAAAAAGTATTTTGGCAAGCGTGGTCGGGACGCATAGAACAGTACTCGCTCTATGGAAACGCAAATTGGTGTGAAGCAAACTCAAGTGAGTTCGAAAGCAGGTGACTCACACCGGCCAAAGGAGGAAAAACCGTCTTCAAAGAGGTATGTCCTAACCAAAACTCATAAGAACGGATCTCTTCTGTCCCCTGTCTTCTAAATGGTATCCAGCAGGAAACGCCTGGAAGCCGTAATCGCAAGGCTCGGCCGGTTTCTAGCGGGGAACATAACCTGATCTCCCAAATCGTCGACAACCCTCCGGAATCCCAAAGTATCTTCGACTCAACTGTGGTTGTTTCTCATAGCAACGTTGACGAATGGGTGCAGGTTGTAAGGAAGAAGCAACATAATGATATAAAAGGGAATCCTGCCCCCATCAAAGTAGTCGAGATATCAAAGGCTGATCACAGTGACAGATCAGTTCTTTTTCATAGCTCTGAACCAAAAACCCGTTTTGAGCATGACATTGTGCCGATAGAACAGCTACTTAGTCCACTCATTCCTCAAAATATCCCCGGAGTCACCTTGCTTAAGCTGTACAGACTAGGTAGTCTAGCGAACTTGAAGCCTAATCAATCCAGACTGCTTAAATTAGTATCCAAGTCTTCGAATAAACGCGACTTAACTTTACAGAATGGACATAAATTAAGGGGTTCAGAAGTTTTTATCCGTAAGGACTTGCCGTTGGCAGACCGCGCTAAAGGACGGGAAGCCGAAAAAGACTTACAACTTGGTTAAACGCTGGCAGAAAGGACATAAAAATTGTAAATTTTTGGGTTATAAGGCTTCGATAGAGAATAATGCCGAAGCCACTTAAATAGGCTTTGGATCTGTTACACTAATGACCGAAGCTTATTCGATAAGCGATCGGAACTAGGTGTACAGACTGACTCTACAAAGTCAGACATGATCGCAGTCACAGAAACTTGGCTGACACAGTCTATAGATAGTATGGGACTTGATTTTGAGGGTTTTACATTAGTAAGGGCTAACGGAACACAATCATCCTCTTCAACTTGAAACTGCTTTACTGGGACATGATAGTATGCCAGCACTCCACAAAAATGTTGTGCTCGAGCCATCTCTACGTTTCTCATAATGCAGCGAGGTTGAATAAACCGTTGCCATATTACTGGGTACATAACTGGTGATTTATCATCAAAGAACCTATTAAATAAGAATAAAGAGTGTCTAGTCGGAGTCATTTACAGGAAGCCAACTGCCGACATCGAGTACGATAGTCGTATGCTGGAAGGACTATCCCGCTCTATCCGTCTCGGTTTCACACACATCCTGATTCTAGGGGACTTTAATCTCCCTAGAGTCAACTTCGCGGAACACACGTACACTGGAGGCGACAACTCAATTGAAGCTCGGTTCTACAACCCCATCGACGACTTGGGCTTATATGAAAATGTGAGGTCGGCAACTCGTTGGAGAAACAGTCAGACACCATCGCGCTTAGACTGTGTATTCACTAACGAAGAATTCCTAGTCGACAACCTCTCAATCCTGGCTCCTCTGGGAAAGAGCGATCATGCCGTCATAGCCTTCAGTTTTGTCATCAAAACTAAGCTAAGGTATCCCAACAATAATTTGCGTTGGAATTTTAAACGGCTGAATGTGCCAGCTCTACATGACTATCTACAACAGGTGGTTTGGGATGTTCACCCTCAACTCGATGTGGATGGTCATTGGGACTTCTTACTGCACACGCTCTTATGTGCTACAGACCATTCAGTTCCTCAAACGGTTCCCAAAAGCTGCAAGCCACCTACAGTAATCAAGAACCGTACCCTTCGCCTGCTAAGCCGCAAAAGGCACTGTTGGGCGGAATACAAACGAACTAATAACGATGGAGCGTATAGGCAATATAAACATATCAGGAACATATGCACGAAGGCTATAAGAGAAGACAGGCTTCAGTACCAAACAAAGCTTATGGACAAATTCGCCTCTAACCCTAGAAGCCTATTCCGTTATGCAGCCTCTCTTCGTCAAGCCAAAACAGGAGTTTCTCAACTGCTAGGTCTTAACGGCCCGACCAACAACGATGGCGACGCCGCTAACCTTCTGGCGGCACATTACTCTCAAACATTTCAACCGGCTGACATCAACTTTATTGACGACAGTTTCATCTGCAATTCCACAGGACTTTCTGAAGTGGACCTAAGCGCTGACTTGGTGTTCCGGAAATTGCAGCACTTAAGACTAGACACTTCTCCTGGCCCGGATATGGTTCATCCTGCCATACTGAGGGAGGCAGCCTCAATCCTGGCAACGCCGCTTAGCGTGATGTTTTCACACTCGCTTAGCCGAGGCAAATTACCGGAAAATTGGAAGTTGGCTCACATCACACCAATTTTCAAAGGTGGTCGACGCAATGAACCTTCAAGTTATCGGCCGGTGGCTCTTCTGTCATTACCTTCAAAACTCATGGAGTCCCTGATATGCGACGGTTTAAATGACTATCTACTGTCCTTAAATTTCTTCTCACCCCAACAGCATGGTTTCAGGAAGGGTTACTCTTGTATAACCAACCTGCTGACTGCGGTGGACAAATGGACAAGCATCCTCGATTGCAAGGGAAAGGTTGATGTCATTTACCTTGATTTCTCAAAAGCTTTTGATAAGGTTAACCACTTGTGTCTTATCAACAAGCTCAAACGACTAGGTATCAAACCACCCCTAATCGATTGGCTTACTTCATACCTAAAAAATCGACACTTTAAGGTTAGGGTTAATTTCACTTTATCTCAGGCTATGGAATGTCCTAGTGGGGTCCCCCAGGGCTCAGTACTAGGGCCTCTTCTCTTCTTGATCTACATAAATGATCTTCCTCAACAGGTAACGTCAGATTTATTACTTTTTGCCGACGACGTGAAACTTTGGAGAGAGATACGCAACCAAGACGATACACAGGCACTTCAGGAGGATCTGACTCGACTTCAAAGTTGGGCAGACGATAACGGACTTACCTTTAACACTTCAAAGTGTAAAGTAGTCCATCTGCGACATGTCGCAAACTACAGTTACAACTTAGGAAACTCCTCTCTAGTAGTATCCCAAGTCGAAAAAGATTTAGGAGTCCTGGTGCCCCATGATTTGAAGTCTTACGCTAACTGTGACAAAAATGCCTTCCGAGCAAACCTTGCACTGGTAACGTTGAGGCGCATTTTTGGCCAGTTTGACGGAAGAACTTTCCACACAATCTTCAATAGTTTCATCCGTCCCCATTTAGAGTACGGAAACATAGTACTCCCCCCTCACTCCAAAAGGACAAGGTCACTTTGGAGCGTATCCAACGGCGAGCCACGAAATCAGTTCGAGGACTCAAATCTAAGCCTTACGAAGAACGCCTCCGTTCACTAGACCTTTACCCATTAGAATATAGGCGTCTTAGAGGTGATTTATTAATGGCTTATAGTATTCTTAAAACTTCTGGACATCCTCTAAAACACCTACTTAAGCTTAGTTCGAATAATAACCTAAGGGGTATGTTATGACCTTGGATGGCTTTTACCCCGTGATACTTGTTATGACTTGACCTTGGTCTGCCTAGTCTAAATTATGACCTTGACGCGCTAGGCTGAGTGGCTTGACCTTGAGTCTAATACGCGTGAGTTCGATCAGGGGTAGAGAGAACTATTCTAAATCCTGATTGGTTGGCAAGCACGCGAGTGAAAGAAGACAAGACAGTTGGAACACTGAACTCTGGATTC